GGGTTTTTTATTTTAATAAAATATAGGTGTTTTTTATTTCAATATTGTTTTGTTTTCAACCAACACAACACGGATCACCTACAATAAGACAAAATGTAGCCCTTTTCCGTTTTTAACGTTAACAGCTGATCTACAACACATGCGCATTTTGTATTTTTCCTAATTCCTTATTTCTTAATTCGTAAAGTTAAAAAGTAGCCATCTTTCAAGGTCGTTCTTAAAAAATAAGAATAAGAAATAAGGAATAAGGAATTGGATAAACGCCACCATTTAATTACATGCTGTTAACTTGTTATGAATTAAGCACTAAGAAATAAGAATTAGAAATTAAGAATTAAGGAGTTGGGTAACACCGGCCGTAGTCTCTCAATAATCTCAATGTGTCAAATATCAAAGTTAAATAAAATCACTATCATTCTCGTCGTGGTTCAATAACACGGACGATTGCACAAAAAAGTGCTTCCATTGAGACACCGGTATAGGTCGTGAGCGAATGGAACAGGTAGAAGTGACGAGATTATTTTTACTGTAACCTCCAGGACTGCACAGGAATTTGATAATTTTATTGTAGGAGATTGTATAGAACTCGGAAAAATGTAGTGAGATAACTAGAACTAGGTGAAGAAAGATTCATCAAACATTGCTTAAAATTTCATTCCTAGATGTATTACCTACTGGTTAATGAGAAAAGATCGATATTTAGTGTTCAACAACACCCACCAATGGGGCGTAGTGATCATGTAGTGATAACGGCTAAAACATAGATTCTTAGAAACACAAACACGAATCAGATGAGACTGAAATTGAGAATTGCTATGCAGACCAGTTTCAGAGAGTCTTCACTCAAGAAGATAACAGCGTACTAACTCTTTCACCTGAATTACGCATCGCTGCAGACAAAAATAATATAGGTACAATTCACCCCATAGAAAAAGTACAAAGGTACAAGTGGTCATTTCATCATAGTAACAGCAACTAATACCAGATTCTCCGCATAGGTTCCTACCAGGAAGATCAACATTTACCCACCTGCTGAAATGGAGGAAAATAATATACCATTTGACATTATTTACATAGATTATGAAAAAGCTTTTGATAAGGTACCTTCCAGGAGACTCCTACTGAACTCGAAGCATAATGGAATACGAGGCAATATTCATAGAGTCATCATCGAACATATCTAGGGAAGAATCTTCCAAGTCAAAATAGGCAATGTTCTTTCCAGTTTCTTTGTTTTAGAAACATCAGCGTTTCCAGGAAAACGAGTGTTCTGTCTTTGTTACTTATATTATAATTTTCATATCATTGAGATAGATGGAACGCTCGTTCTCCTGGGAACGCTGCTCGCCTGTTTCAAGAATAAGGACCCAGTAGTCGCAAGGTGCACAGCGGAGTGCCACAGGGCTCGGTGATTTTGCTATTTATTATACATAAGCGACACACCTGCAGATCTCGCGTGTGAAAACTGCATGCAGATCACACATAATCTACATGGAGAGCAAGTGACCAATACCTACAAATGCAGAGTGATCTTGATAAAATTAAACAATGGACAATCACATGGCAGATGTCATTAAATGAATCTAAGTGCACTGTTCTTCACTTAGGAAGAAATAATTCCAATCATAGGTATACTATAGGAAACGCTGAAGTGACTTCAGTCTAAAAACAGGAAGACCTAGGCTTATTAGTCACAAAATGGGAGTGTCACATCTCAACAACTGTAAAAAAAAACATTAAACCTATCTAGTGATATGATTCTAGAGCTTTATAAGACATACATAAGACCAAAACTAGAATATATAGCAAAGTATATTATGAAGTTCTAATTATGTCGAAGATCTTCTAGAAAAAGTTCAGCGAACGGTAACTAAAATCCCTTCAGAACTTAAGGATCTCTCTTATGAAAAGTGTTTACAGCGCCTTAATCTAACACCCTCTACTAAAGAAGACAGCGTGGAGATTTGATTGAGATATAAAATACCAAGTGGTCATTACAAATGCAATATCATAAACATCTTTATTCCTGCCGATAATACGCACCCAAAGGGTATAATAAGAAATTAAACAAGGAAAAATGTTGCAAATTGTTAAGACGCAATCTCTTACAAACAGGGTTGTGCATTAGTGGAATAACCTGAGTCAGGATACGGTAAATGCCACTAATGTTAACTCTTTCAAGAATCGTAATGTGTAATATAATAACCAGTGATAAAATAATACCATATCTGAGCTACACTAGATATGACAATTAATTATAGAAATTGTGAACTGTTATAAACCAATCAATAAACTCATTGGCATTGCCGCCTTCTATTGGTAAATAATAATAATAATAATAATAATAATAATAATAATATTAATAATAATAATAATAATAATAATAATAATAATAATAATAATAATAATAATAATAATAATAATAATAATAATAATAATAATAATAATAATAATAATAATAATAATCAATGTTAGGTATACCAATTATTGCTTGTTTGAATGAGTAGGTAACTATACACAATAGTACCTACACATCAAATGATCGGAAATGTAGGTACTATACTTACCTATCTAATCTTTTTTTGATTGAGAAAATATGCTACAAAAGCAGGAGAGAACTATATAGGAAAATACTAAGGTGGAAATTTTACCGCAATGTCCGCAATACACATTCGCTTATGCCAATTTGCAAAATATGGTTTCAGATAAGGAAAGCTGAAATCTTCTGGGACCAGATTCAGGATGCCGCGAGAAAAATTTGTATATTTACAAACGTAGGTGTCTATTTTTATCATCGCAAGTCGTGAGAAACAGAAAATCAGTGATATTGTGAAAATTCTGAAGTTCTGTGTTGTTATGCTTATAGTTCTTATCTAATTAATTGTTATGTTCTCTGCAAACTTGCATGAGTTTTATGTTAGTGTTATCATTTGCACAACTATATGTTGATTTCTGATCCTCCTTATCTACTTCACTCCGTCGTACTGCATTCCAGGGTTCTAATAATTTCAATATCATAAAATTATCATAATATGGTTAGTTTGGGTTAGTTTGGGTTAGTTAACAATAGAGGGAATTCTGCTCATATCGTAGGGTATTTTGCCATTTATTTTGAAGAAGGCTTATATAAGTAGGACATTTATTTACTTTGTACCTATCTCTGTTTATATGAAGTAAAAAATGTATTCCGTTTCATTTTATATTTTTTGAAATCGCATCTGGTTTTTGGTAGCAGTGAGTTATTTGGAAAGCAATAAATAATATGTAATAAAAGTTAAGTTTTGGATTGTATGCCTTTAAATCCCACATAACAAAATTGCATCCTTAGAATGTATTAAGAATGTTCTTTTTTTAGGAGGAATGTGCCTAGAATGTTCGCCAAAACCATTGCGAATGTCCTGAGAATGTTCTGAGAAAAGATTGTAGAAATACTGTTTGCAATACCAAAAACTTCCTGGGAAATCCATTAGGATATTCCTAGAATATACCTATGAGATTCTCAGTACATCCTGAAAAGAATATTCCTGTTTGATTCTAAAAATATGCTCGAAATGTACATTCTCATATTCAAAGAATGTTTCTATGACATTATAGTTATGTTCTCAAAAGAATATTATACGAATATGCTTGAAATATTCTTAGAATATATCTACATATATCATTCTCAATATGCATCCTAGAAATAACATGCTTGTTTGATTCTAAGGATATACTTGGAATGTTAATTTTCTTTTCCAAATAATGCTCCTTCCAGTCCTTTTATATTAAAGGCAGTGAAAGAATTGTTGGAAAATTTCTCTGGAAAACACAAGTGTTTAACCAAAGCTCCGGTTTCGAGCTTGTTATGCTCTCGTCGAAGCACGCCAACTGAGAGAAACAGGTTCCAAGGTGATTCAAACGCGAGGCAAGATGTAGATCTTTAATAGCGCGTGGCTCCCTCTCTTGGAAGTCCTACAAAGCTAAAGAAAAAGAATATACCTATAATATTCTCAGTAGGTTCTAGATAGAGCATTATTGTTTAATTGTTCAATTAATTTTTTGAGTAGGTAGGTACTTTAGATAATTAGGTGAACAATATGGAAATATTCTTATCATGGGTACCTACCTACATAAACTTCTCAGCACAACTTGGTAGGTATATTCTTAATACTTGATAGAGATATTAGCCGAAAGAACATTTTTTAGGGTACATTATAATAATGTTCGTATGAGAATATTCAAATAATGTTATATAAAGTAGGTTCTTAGCACAATCTTTCAGGTAGGTGCATAGAAGCAACATTCCTAGTACATAAATAGAACGTTCAAAAATGAATATTTCAATCGAAACAATCTTAGGATATTCATTGAACATTCCCAAAAGAACATTCCAAAAAGCACTTTGAGGGAATATTCTGAGAATATGAATGTTCTTTTACTGTTATGTGGGATCTAGATTAGATTATCCATAGGACAATGTGAGGATTCTCATAGATATGCGAAATTCAACATCTCTATGAGACAAGAGACAAACGATAGCAGAGGCAAAGGCAAACACTAGTGTGCAAATTGGGGATAATCTTATATCATACACTCACAGAAAAAAGGTTCGATCAGAGTTGCTTATAAAGAAAATAATATTTTATTACGAAAGTGAAAACTAGGAGAATGATCGTTTTAGAGATTCAATAAGGAATGGACTCTATTTTTTTGAAAATATTTTTTTTATTCTGAGACCTTAGAAGAAAGTTCTTTGATGCTGTTAAGATGATTCTTGATCAAAGAATAATCTTATAGATTACCGTTGTAGATCATATTTCTTCAACTTAATGATTTTTAAATACACTTTAGGTATATTTAATTCCGTTAATCGTATCGGTACCTACAATAAAAACCGTTTCGTCACACGTACCCATTGAATACAAATAAAACCAAGCGACCTTTATAGGCCGTCGTACCAAACCCATCAAAACCAAATCATCAACAAATCGTCACCGGCAGAAGATCCCAAAAAAACTTACCGGAACCTTGAGCCAAACCAACAAGACAACAACCGGTCAATAAAAGTCCAAATCGAATCATTGCACCGATAATAGCAGATCGACTGTCCCGCGTCAATTACGTTAACATAGATCAGTCAAAAGATCCTGAAGAGTGTCGTTGACTTTTCGGTACTCGCGTCCAAATACGAAATATAACGACGTACGACAGCAACCGTAAAAGTACTACGTCACGCAGTGAACAGAGTTGTTCGCGGTGTTGCGAGTCTGTCGCGACTGCTTTTGGCTTCTTGAATTGTGGCCTGTGAATATTGCAGAAGATGGAAGAGATGGAGATGACCATTTCTTGCGCCGCGGGTAGGGGTCGACGCTCTTATGGGCTGCTTCGGCCTTTTTTGGACACGCTCCCCGTGGGGCGAATGTGGTGTCCTGGTATGGTGGAGTACAGTTTGGATGCCAGCAAAAAAAAAAATGAGTTAGTACCCAATGGCAGCTGATGTAGGTACTTTATAAACAACAACAAAATGCAGTCAAGTATTGAAATTAAATTTCTTGATACACTGTAAATTGATATAATTTCAACGTTAAGATTGGACAGCGTATACAAATAGGTGATGGATAAATCTACCTGCATTGATATTTATTGACAATTCTTTCTGCAGCTTCTTCAATCCATGTTATTGAAGGGGTTTGTTTGGATGATGGATGACCGAAAGGCTACTCAACTTATTAACATTTGTGTTTACAATAATCCAGGCAATATCAATATAAACTTCAATTTTAACAAAAAACCTGCTCTCAACTATTATTCAAATGCCTACATCTTAATATGTATCTACCTAACCTCAACTCATCTTCTATTCTTCCAATAACTACTACTTCCGCCATCTCTATAAGAAAACCTTTGTGCCGAGTTTATAAAGAGAAGTTGATGGGCAGTGTTATAAAACAATTGATATAGCATTTGAACCATTTGAACCCGGATATCGTGTTTATGGATTTTTAGTAGATAATCATACATGCTTGGATAGGTAAGTGGTATAAATGAGCAAAGACATTTTCGTTCGTAACTAACGGAAACACAAGTTTGCCAAAATGTTTTAGTAACACCATTTTGAATAGAAAAATAATCATTCCAACGCACTTCCACCATGATGGTGACACCTGAAGAGAGAAGTTATGAGTCATATTAAAAATATTGGTCATTGTTACTTCTTGGAATGATTTTGTCAAGAACTTCTAATGCTTGGACTTTGATTAGTGAGAAAAACTTGTCTTCTATTTATACGTAAAAGATTTACAATTTAGGTTAATGGTATAAAAACTAATTGCCGCATTTATTAAAAACAATTCTTCGAAATAAAAAACGTCTTCGCGTGCCAGGGTCGATGATTGATATTTTTAAATTTCCAAGGCCAGTAGAAATAGTAATATGATGTTAGCTAATAAATTTTGTTTTTTATCATTAGGCTTATAATGCTAGCTGTTCAGAATACAAGATTTAGGAGGCACTAGGCGTGGACTGCTTTTTATTAATTGTTATATTTGGACGCAAAAGTCCTGGACTAAATCGAAGAGGACTTCAATTTACTTGAAACAGGAGTGGAACATCAACGAGGCCTTCACATAAATTTCTTAATGTAATCAATAACATTAATCGACGCCAGAAAATTTGACTTAAGTTCAGTTTCAGTTCAAGTAATTATCAGTTTTTCACCCCTAGAGAGACCGTAATATTTTCAACAGTACATCGGAAATTACGGTATCTAATGACAAAATAAAAAAAGAATAAGAGCTAAATCGAAGATGAAGTAAAATCTTCAACAGTGGCTCTTCTTGTAAAAGGGGCAAACATGCCTTTCAACTCAATAAAATGTTATTGATGGTATGGCCTTAGCGGACGATTGTTTCAATTGGAATACCCACATCCGGCAAACAGGTTATCAGAAATTGCTACAATCAAGAAACAGCTGATTAAGTTCATATAGCGCTCCTAGAAGCTAATGCTACAGATGTTCGGAAATTAGCTATGGCATCTTCTTCTCGATCTGCTGTGTCTTCTTCTTCCCTCTGGCTTCTACTATTGAGTGCGAAGCCAGGATTGGCTTGGGTATGCTCGTATCTGCCATTCTTTGTTCATGTCGGAACCAAATCAGTCGTTTGTCTTCATCTAGTATTGTCCAACTTTCATAATTTCTCTAATTTTGGTATCCTTTCCCTTTTTGACCTGCTTGCCGCTCTCCGCAAAAAGTCCATTTTTGTTGCAGCCTTCTCAACTATATAACTATGCTTTGACGATGATGTTTTATATTCTAGTTTTGTTTCTTTTGTTGATACTTCGGTCCACACTTCCTTTAGTAGCTTGTCTCTTGCTTGTTGGACCAAAGATTCACCTAAATTCATTTGCTAATAAGAGCCCTTTTTATTAAATACGTATACTAATATTAATATGCTATCAGTAATAATTTGATCACTATATTGAAATTTGGAAAATGTATCTGGCCTGAAATTCTCACAAGGCCCAACAATTCCTGGGTAAGGCCTGTATAACGACTGGAAAAATATTAACATTGCAAAATAAGCATATTTTTCAATTAATAAATAATTCACGTTTAGTTGTTCTATAATTTTCCCAGCATATATTTAGAACAATACCGTTTTTGTGCCGAAAACGTTAAGCGATACACGATATCTTAATCACAATCAAATGCAATAAATAATACTATTAATTTCCAATATTATCTTATGTTGTGTCTAAATGCAGTGCACGAAAACAGGTTAATTTGGTTTATGAGCTGATAAATCAATTTCTTTTTTAACCCGGCATTACACGCGTCAAAAAAACTTACGTCATTATACGCGTACGGTCAAATCGACCGAATAATGCCCAAATGTTTATATGAATTAATAGCTTTTTCCGCTAAGACGATCCAAACGTATCCTGAACGCTGAAGCATGACCTAATCAATAGAAACATGAAACTTTGAAATAATACCTGCGTAGGTTATGCCTTAGCGTTCTCCTGAACGCTACGTTTGGGATCGTCTCCGCGAAAAAAGTGTCAAAGCACTATAATTCCTAGAACTCATAATAATATCAAAGGGAATTATATTATGCAGTACAGTTACCGTATTATCGACAGCCAAAGGTATTCCCAATATCAGAAAATTCTATTTTTCAACACAAATATTTTAGATATTCAGGTTGTCGCGCCTGGTCAAAAGCACCGACTATGAAAACAACGAACTATACTTCAACAAAAAACCAAAATATTTTTGTACCAATGGGTACACAGAAAAAAATCGCATTCTGACGACAATTACATCATGTATTTTACTCGTATAGAAATAAACACCAATTTGAAATCATCGAATTCTGTTTGCATTGATTATATTTAGCTTGAATCAAAAAAATCAATCACTGTTATTGAGTGATTTCTGGTGAACCTTAGCAAGAAAAGTCTCAAGACTCCAACCGGGTTTCTCTCGGGACATTGCAGACTTAACAAACACCTACAGAAGTTGGGGTTAGAAGAAGGTGATACCTGCAGATCCTGTGAAGTCGAAGAAGAGACACCTCGCCATCTTCTACTGAACTGCGATGCCGTTCGTCGCTCAAGGATGAAGAACCTGGGAAGAGCCCTTATACAGTTGGGAGACATTCCAGTCCTTGAACCGCTAGACACCCTAAAATTCCTAGGGGACCTAGGACTGGAGGAGTTGCTTTGAGCGGGAAACCCGAAATTAGCAGCAGAAGTAGGGGAACAATAGATCAACCTTGGTCGCGGTGCAACTGACACCTCCAACACACACATACACATACATACCGCTGAGCAGAGAATCGAAATGGAAACCCGGAAGAAGATTGAAACCATATTAAGGATCAAATTGACGCATAAAGGATTGAGGACGCAGGTGAAGAGCGGGGAGAGGTCGCGAGAGGAACTTAGGAAGGCAAATGAAATCCTTACCGAGTCAAACAACAGAAAATCGACATTTCAAATCTGAAAAAAAGATGGATGTAACAAGGGCTCAGGCGGAAATAGTATCTGAATTGAGAGAATGTAAGTAGAGTAACAGAAACAGGAAGTCTGGCATCAGTCCAAAAGTTGTGATCAGAGAAAGCAGCATATACGTTATTATATCGTTGGTGACTGTGAGAGTGCTCAAAAAATTCACCGACTTCAGATTTGACAATAGTTCTCAATACTCTGAGAGCAACCCTAACAGTGGACGCACTGGCAGAGAAGTGTCATTCTCTGAGCTAGTCGGTAGATATTTTTTTTCTGGCTGCAATGGATTTGATGGAGAACTGGCCGAGCACTGCCGTTATGCTGGAGTTTTCAAGGAACCACCAAAATACCAACCTAATAATTGCTAGAGCGACACTGCTGCTGAGGGATGGTATCTACGGGTTTGGTTCGACGAGGAAGGAACTTATTGACTCCACTCGGAACTCCATTATTTGATCTTTTTTCTTTCCATTGGACTCTTTTCTTTCCATTGGACTCTTTTTTTCCCCTGGATTCTTTCCTTTGCTGCTACAGAGATGCAAGTTGAATTTGGTGATACAAAATTAAAACAGCTTAAGTATCCTCAGAACAATTTTTTCAGGAAACTCAAATAATATTGAATTCACTTTAACCTTATCAAATATCCAATCAGATTGCAACAATATGATTATGAATGACAACAATAATTTTGAATCAAATTCAGTATGTAAATAATATACTGTACGCTGAACACTGGCTCGCTGAACTCGGGCCAATATTTTTGCAAGATTTTATAGTTTTTTCCTATTTATTGTTAGGCAAAAACCAACCTACGCATGCGTGGAGGTACCATCGTCACCAAAAGTATCTGTGACAAAAATAATTCATATAAATCTCCTGGACTAGTTCTACCGTCATTCATTTCAATGCATTTAATTCATAGTTTGACAAATATTTGATACCAAAAATCATATAATAGTACCAGAGCTAATATGATGCTGTCCCAGTTATTTTTGGTGACGATGGTTACATTTGCTTTAGCCAAAAAAAAAATTACTCGTAAGTCACACCTTTACAAATTTAATTTTCTGGTAGTGGAAAATGATTTTGAATTTACAATTATTTCAAGCTCAAAATTGCAATTATTGAACATTGCTTGTAATAGATCTTCTCGTGGTGATGTGAAATGTTACTCAAATAGATTAGGATTTCTTCGACACTGCTTCTGTGATATTGTCTGGAGATTTCAATATAAATATATTAGAGTCAAGCTCTGTACGGACTCAATCCTTGTTGGCATTGCTAAGCTCCTATAACCTAAACATACATCATTCTCCTAATCGTATAATTTCAGAATCCGCTACAGTAATCGATTATGTTTGTTCAAATATTGATAGAGATAGAATAACATGTAATATTGTAAATGCAGGCCTATTCCATCACGAGGCAGTAAATCGTAGATGTTTGTAGTTTATAGAAAATATGAACATGAAATCAAGCTATAAAATACATATAGGTTGTTACCTACCCCGACAAAAGAACAATCTCCAATTGCCTATACCATAATCTTCGAAAATGAGAGAAAATTTGAGAAAGGAGTGAAAATTCTCCTGACTTCTAGAGAATATTAAGTATTCTGTATATGAATTTCTAAACGACTCAGGTAATTGAGGGTTTTTGTTTGTCTGTGATTAAGTTTTATTACTTTACTATTAACTTGGCTGTTACTTTATCATCTTATAGATGTGTGACATATTGAATTTTTCGTTTATTTATTACAGGGTATTTACTGTTTTCTTGGATTATTTATATGAATGTTTCAACCGTTTTGGGATTTTCATTATCTTAGTTTATTTTTTTGCTTTAATGGTAAACTTTTTCTTCTTACCTGCTCTTGACTATATTATCAGTGAACACCCATATGTATTATTAATGTCAGATTTTTTTTTTTGGAATTTTTGAAACAAAACAGTCTAGAGGATATTCAAGATCGTGGTTTTCAAAATAAAACAACAGGTCAACTTTTCATAATAAGAATATATTACCTATAACACAAGAATAACAAAAACGGTTTCAAAAGATAATACAAAGAAGCTTTGGTTTTGGTAGGTACTGCGCCTTGTAGGTTATTTTAAATAATTTTGAAAACAATAAATAGGAATTATTCAACATGCATTTAAAATCAAGTAAATCTTTATTTAAGAAAAAAATAAATAAATGTACAATAATAATAGCTTGTGAAGTCATATGACTTCTACATTTTTCGCTTCATAGTTCTAAGGAAAATTCGAACTGATATTGAAACGGGAATGTTCGAAGAAAATTCTATCTAATAAAAATTCCTCCCTATATATTTGATTTTTGTAATACAAAAAACATCATTTTGGTCGCTAATTGATTTGATTAGTTGATGGCAGGTCCGCATAAATGGTGCTAGGCCCTTCCGTACTACAAACCGAGTCTTCGGGTGTTCTAGACGGTTCCGCTTCGGTAACTTCGGTGTCGGCTTCTCTTTTTCTGTCTTTGTGCCGCGAGTGTAAACTCTGAAATAATTATTTAATTAATCTGGGTTAGTAAAATGGATTGCATGCTGTTAAATGGATTTTAAATGCATTTATAAAAAAAAATTGTCTGTTTCTACGCTTTGTTTTTCTTGAGTGTTTATTTCTAAAGTGGTGGTTTCCCAGAAAAGTTACTAATAACTTTCTCAAGCTACAAGTATAATCAGCGGCTGCTAAAGCTTTAATTAGGTAACTATTTTAATTTTTGCTGTTGAAGTACTTAATTAGTCGAAAGAACCAATCTGTTCATTTAATTGATACTGAAAACAACCTTTTCTAAATAGAATATATCGACAATCTGGGAAATGAAACTTATAGAGATAGAAGTCAGTCAGAGTCAGAAAGATAGTTTCAACAATAATGCAATATTTAAACTACAGTAGAGAAAAATAGTCCATTCTAGAGACAAAACATGCCAAAATTGAGCCTACAGATATGATAGGTAATTCATAAGCTCATTGAGGAACGATGAAGCTTAGACAATGAAGGAATTAGCTAAAAGTATCTTAACAATAAAGTGATTAATGTTATCAGAAGAGGCAAGAGAGCACGAAACATAGAGTTGCTCAAAAAAGCCATCGGAAATAACTCAAACCTATCAGAAAAAGGTAAGTTTTTCCATACGCAAAAGGAGAAGTTATTACAAAAAGATATATGAAATCACAGAAGTTGTTGAAAACTTTTTTCAAATACTGTATGTACCGTGCATTCAATTTATCTTGATAAACTTTTAATTCGCTGTAACTTTTTTGTTTTTGAAGGTATCAAGGTGAACAAAAAAACAAAATGTAGGGTTGGTAGCCTAGTTTTTTTTCAAGGTACCTATAAAACAAAACACTATCAATTTTATGACATATGAGCCTACATTATATTTTTTCAAATGGAACACCCTGTATATTATATATGCGTTTGATAGAATATCTTATTTCGATTACAATGATATAACACACTTTATATTTTAGTCCACTCGTTTTTGACAAATCGGCAAAAATATGATATTTTTATATGCACTATCAATGATTCTCTCCTCAAATATCAGATCGCCGCCTAATAAGTTTCACTTCAAAAGTTTCATATATTTTTGCCGATTTGTTAAAAACGAGTGGACTAAAATATGGAGTGTATTATATCATTGTAATCGGAATAAGATATTCTATCAAACACATATCTAATATACAGGGTGTTCCATTTAAAAAAATATAATGTTGGCTCATGTGTCAGAAAATTGATAGTGTTTTGTTTTATAGGTAACTTGAAAAAAAACTTGGCTACTAACGCTACATTTTGTTTTTTTATTTACCTTGATACCTTCAAAAACAAAAAAGTTACAGCGAATTAAAATGTTATCAAGATAAATTGAACGCACGGTACATACAGTCAATCATTGACAGGTGACAGAACCAAGAACCACCAAATAATTTGTAATAAAATCAATCTTGAACGTAGAGCAAAGGAACTAGAACCAATCACTAGGAGCGAACTACAGGCTACTCTGTCACGCTCCAGGTGAAGATTAGACTAGGAGATAGATAGAGATAGAATTAAAAAAAAAAACGCAGAAGTCATCCTGCCCTTGAAGAATTATGATAATACAAAACATATAGGAAATTGCACACCGAATAGACTCCTCTGTCTATCCTCTACAAGCTGGTTAACAAGGATTATACTGAAGAGACAGGAATTCGAAGAAAATCAGAGAAATGGAAGGCAGGCATCAGAAACGGTGACGCAATCTTCGAAAGTTATTCCTCTTGGCTTCGAAGGACCGTGTGTTATAAGAAGAGCTTTGACATAGATGGAAACCGTCTCAACTAACTCTTACTTCTGGATGACATGGTTCTCTACAGCAGCGAAGCATATAGAATAACGACGATATTATACGAAAATTATTGAAGCTTCTATAGGAACAGACCTCAAAATAAACCTCTGAAGCACCAAAATCTTGACTTCGGATGATATCAGGTTCTGGAGGCAGAGAACAATTATCGTAAGAAGAGCATTCAGTTTGGAAAGGAGAATCCGCCAGCAGAGGTCGACAGGCAAAATGGTCCCACCTGAAAACTTGGTTACATCATCTCCTAACCGAGGAGGAAAAGTCAACAACGCATTAATTCTACCAGTGGCGACTCGGTTACTCGAAGGAGTGTGTCTAAGCGAGTAATGTTGGAATCGAGTCCGAGAAACAGATTCCGGATCATAGCTATTGAAAGGCGAACGGGAGTCTGTCACTTTGTGAGGCGACTAGAGATATTGGAATGGCACCAGGTGGGACATGTGCAGGTTAGAATCAACAATCAATCTTACACGGAACAAATCTGCAATGCAGGGGATAAGAAAAATCTTGGACGTACCGAGGTGAGATCGATAATCAAACTAGAATCCAGAGCGTACAGTAAAGATCGGCGTGGAAAGCATTGGAAGAACAGGACTAATAAAGAAGAAGAAGATAGATACCAAGAACCAACGCCGTTTTCCTGAATTGTATCTCAAAATGTAATGGCATGATGATGACAAACGATATCGATGTTTTTTGGATGTGGTAATGATTTAAAAAAATCTGTGTCATAGTGACTGTTATTGAAAAACAGATACGCCCAAGGAAATTGACGAAAAATGACTCGTGCATCGACTAGAACTAGGTGTACAGCTGCTGAGTTATCGAGCCCAATATTTATATTACAGCTACTTTTTTTTTTTTTGAATTTAGTGACTCTAAAAAAAATCCTTCTGTTACCCAAGAAGCTGTCATAGGTGTTAGATTTTGATGGAAAACAGAATAGAAAGTATCAAATGGTGTGAAGAAAAAAAAACATGGAAAAATCAGAAATTGGGATTTGAAGACTCTAACGTGGTTTACATAGGTTGAAGATCTTGAACACTTCGGTCCCAGAGTTTTTGATATAAATGAACATTACTGTATTTCAAAAAAAAAGTTTCCCAACCATGTGAGCAGACTCAAGAGCGAGTGGTACCTCTTTACAGTTAGGGGAGGCCAAAGCTGCCCCTCGCGTGTCCCTTTCTTGACTGGTACCACCTAAATTCCACCATTTCCCAAACCCTCATCTACTCCCAAACCTCTCGCCTTTTCTTTCAATTATGTGTCTTGCCTAAGGCCTTACCCATAATGATATATGGAATCTAAAAAAGAGTTCCACAAGTTGGTTTCCAGAAAGACTATTATTATAGAGTTTACATTATGCTTGGCAGAAATCAGAAAGCATAGCCACATACTCAAACAAGATAATGTACTCCGGCAAAGTAGAGTGAAGATTAACAACGAACTCAAGAGTATCTCTGAAAATGACAACCAAGAAACAGAAATAGAAGAATTGTGGAATGAAATGAAAGTATTTATTACCTCCATTGCCGAGGAAGAACTGAGGACGAACTGGACTGCGAAGAGACAAGAATGGATGACAGATACTACCCTGGAACTTATGGAAGAGAGAAGACACTACAAGAACAAGGAAACAGTAAAATACAAGGTAGCACACAAAAGAGTTCTGATATCAATCAAGGAGGCTAAAGAACAGTGGATACAGGAAAAATGCAAAGAAATTGAGATATTACAAACAAAACACGACAGCTTTATTCTTCATGAGAAAATAAAAGGAGCAATGGGAGTGTATCAAAAACAGAGTGCAGGAGTAATCTTGGGTTCAGACAACAACATCATTACGGAAACTGACAAAAAAGTTACAAGATGGAAACATTATATGGAGGAACTTTTCGGAGACGATACCATCGACAATGTGACTGCAGTGGTTGGCAAGGAGGGGCCCATCATCACACAGGAGGAAGTGGAGTCAGTTATTAAACGACTGAAGAACAACAAAACCCCCCGGGACAGACCAGATACATGAAGAAGTCCTCAAATTACTGGAGTCACAACAACTTAAATTGCTTACCACCCTCTTTGTCAAAGGATTGGCTGTCAACATTCATCCCGCTTCCCAAAAAGCCTAATGCAATCAAATGCTCTGATCACAGAATAATTATCTTAATGAGCCACGCTTTAAGCCTTCCTAAACATAATCCAAGCACAAATATATAAAAGACTCGACGAGAACCTGAATGTCACCCAGTTCGGATTCAGGAAGAGACTAGGTACTAGAGAGGCAGTGTTCTCCATACAAGTCCTAATTCAACGAGCACGTGCCGTTAACGCAGACGTTTTCGCATGCTTTATAGATTTCGAAAAGGCCTCCGACAAAGTTCAGCCTAGTAAACTTATCTCAATCCTACATGAATCAGGAATTGATAAGAGAGATACAGAAGTAATATCAATGAAGCTCTACCTTCAACAAAGTGCCATGGTACTAATCGAAAACGAAACATCAGACGAGTTCAGCTTAAGAAGAGGAGTATGTCAGGGTTGCCTCCCTTATTCAATGTGTACTTAAAATACCTGTTCACAGAGTCACTGGACAACATGAAAGATGAGCTTGTAATAAATGGAAAAATAATAAATAATTTGAGATATGCAGACGATACCGTCCTCATAGCTGATATTGCTAAGGGACTTCAGAGATTCATAGACCACGTAGTGGCTGCATGTCATAGATATAATATGAAGATAAACTGCAAGGAAACGCAAACGTTGATCAGTAAAAACTATGTCTGCAACCTACAGTTTACCGCTAATAATATAGCTCTCACAGTGGCCGAGATAGTCACATAGCACTATCAGGAGATAAAAAGCCGAATTGAAAAAGCAAGAAAGCCATTCAATAAGATGCGAAATGTGCTGTGCAATCTATCTCTTAGCATCCGTACTAGAATCAGGGCATTGAGATGCTATGCACTCTCGACTCTCCTGTATGGATCAGAAACATGGACACACATACGTCATGCAAACGCATAGATGCATTTGAGATGTGGTGCTATCGCCGCATGCTCAGGATCTCAAGGCTGCACCGTGTGTCAAACGAAACAGTCTTACAATGCATTGATGGAAACTGGAGTATCTAGCGAACGTCAAA